CATCGTGTTTCTTAGATTGCGTTCATTGCCTTATGACCGGGGAAAAGGAACCTTCTACCCGGCTCCAGGAAGCTCTTACTATATGGCGGAAAGAAGAATATAACAGGGTGGGGTCCTTTTATTACCCTTACAATGATCCCGATATACCCTTACTAGAGCGGAGCTCACCGATCCCGATATGCATGTTGTCGCGGAAAAGTTGGGGGTACACATTTACGAGTACCGGTCTGACATGAATCCCCCCAGTGGTACTAAGTTGCGGGGCATAAGCGGGGGCGTGGGGGTACCGAGGTCCAAGAAGCCATTTACTTATACTACAGTGTTGGGGTGGGAGAAGGGGGAAACGACGAGGGGCATACCGAGCTCATTGTCGGGAGAAAGATGAGGCGGGGATAATTCACATTTTATTTTACCTATAACCCCTTTGGCTTAATTCGATATTCATAGTTCCATACCATTACACGTATAATTTCAACATAGCCAATTTATCGGTCATTAACTTGGTTCAAACCAACTTGCAAAGTTTGGACAATTTTGGTGCATGTATTTCTTATCACTTATCTTTGTTACATATTTGCTACATTGGGGGGGGGGGGGGTTTCTGGATCGACCAAATCATTCAATCTGTCAGCTCCCATATTCATCACCTTAACAACTACCATCCCCGAAGTTATCCAATCCTTATACAAATTGGCAGGAACCAAATCAATATTCGAATAAATTTTACATCTAATTTCCATCCCCCATAAGCCGCAAAATCCCGATTTTGACTAATATAAACTTTCTATACTTTAGAATCACCATACACCATGCTCCGAAAAATAATCGTATCCTTCCCGGTGGGAGAGCATGCCTTTCTCTGGAGAGCCTCTCCTTGGGACCCACCCCGCCTCCAAACGATCCGTGACGATCATCGCGGGAGCAAAGTGGGGGAACACGTCCCGACAATGCCGGGTAACAACCCTGGTAATGTGCTCCACATCGTCCGAGAGATCTTCATTCCAGGTTGTTAATCCTGAAGGAGCAGCGGGAAAGAGTCTGTTAAAGGCTCTGAAGAACTACCGGGAAGAACTGCGCCTCAGGGATGGGGGAATCCCTCTGCTCCTTCAGATAGAGGAGTTAATATAAGTGTTGGGGGTGACATTTGATCCCCCCCACACCGACACCCGACTGTGGTTGCCGGAGGAGAGGAGGGAACGGGAAGTATTCGAGAGGAGTTAACCCACCCAAAACAAACTGAAAAGTTTAAGTTAATCGTCTTCATGTATTTAATTTCATTAACCAAGAAAAATTTGTACCATAATTCAAATGTTCAGCAAAAGAAATGACTTCTTTTTTTTAGAGCGCACGTTTTGAAAATATTCGGTTCTAAAATGTTCAAGTTTGAAATGAGTCAAAAGTTCACAGGTCTCAATTTTGTAAATTTCGCGCACATTTGTCAAAATTGGTGACTTTTGATCTTATCTTATCAAAATTGGTTACATTCAAAATAACATGGGGATAAAATTAGCTATCTGAATTGGTAAGTATCACTTTTGAACTATCTTTCAACTCCCCCGCCAATAGTTTCGCGCCTACGCCTAATTTCCGTGACGCACGAGGTCGGTCCGATTATCACGTGTGAAAATCGCGATCTTACATTAACTATCGTACTGATTATTCAATACCTATTTTCTTTTAAACAACAAAAATTACACCTGGACGGTAAAATTCTTCGAATCGATCAAAGCGTTGCTCCAATCTTACAGCGAACTCACGAAAGAGATTTGGAGTAACGAGAAGGATGGACAATGTTAAAGCAGGTGGCCGGCTCTAAGTATTAAGCGGAATCCCTGCGAGGGCACTCCCGGAACGTGTGCCTCAGCTGCGAGAAGCGATGGGCCGTTTTGCTGAATGATGGCACCATGAAACACTTGAGCGCCGAGAGTGCAGCAAGTTAGGCGAGCGGTTGGGTTTGGCCATGCATGGGCAAAACTCCCGTCCTCACCAAGGAGAGGAACACTTAAAACCCAATAACTCACAAACCGACTCTAATTGAAGGTGCCCGCTTCAAGCCGAGCTTTTTTCTGGACTGCCTGCATTAATTACTTACCAAGACACGCTTCCTTTTCAAGCAGCCCCAGAAAACATTCACGTCCCGGTCCCTGTCCTTTTGTTTCTAATTTATCGTTTTTGGACAGTGGAAATCTACAATCGAATGTTTTCCCAAGTGCAAATAACTTCTGTTCCAACCAATGTATTTGCTTCAAGTTCTAATACATGGGATAAATTGTCATTATTTACCGTATCCTAAAGTTTGGCTTCCTGCAATCATTGCTGGCCGAAGAAAGACTTCCGGAAGACGGGGTGTCGACTATTTACTTAGGGCATAACAACTAAGTAGGGGTCTAAGGAGTGTGGGATTCGCGGTTAACGCTTCTCTTAACTAGCGCACTAAAACATACGAAACTTCGACTAGTTAGTGAGTTAACAGGGCAAATTACACTTCCGGAAACCGTTTTTGCCGAAGCCAAGGGGTTTAGGTTGTTCTTGCATGCCCCAGTCAAATCATCTCTAGTATCCCTCCGAGTTTCATGAAGTTAAATTTGATAATTCTGATTTGGGGGGGTTGTATTTGCTATCTTCAGTCGGGTTTTCCGTTATAGCAGGGACTATTTCTTTCAAAGAATTGAACTAGTTTGGACTCGGCCATTCGTTATCTTTTCTACTGGTCGTATTGATTAGTCAAAAATAAGCTGAGTACTATTCATTTGCCTTCAAGATTTACGTCAGTTGCTATACATAATGGGTTCAAAATCTTACAATGCAAACTTAAAACTTCACACGGCTAGACGAAGTCCTAGGGCAAGGAGGTTATTCCCTAACTAAGTAGAATACGAAAGGCAACGTTCCACCTTAAGGCCTGTAGTATTGCAAATACTACACGGACAAAAGGCCATTGTCTAAATTGTCTACTTAACTTGAATAAGACTCAATTCTAAATAAGCCGTTTTAAATTAAAGCATATAGTCACTAAATCAGAAATTGACTGATTTATTCCTATTAGGACTATAAAATCGTGTTTTGAAAAACACCTAGTTTTTAAATACTTGGCTAAAATTTCTAACTTTTCATGCTCAGTATTTTAAAGGAGCGTTGATAACTAACACCTTTTTTTTCAACTAAAACAAAATGAAAAAAAATTATTAGTCTTGCTGGCTGTCCAGGATTTCTCCCTGCTTTGATTAAGCAGAGATGCACCTGGAAAATAAAACATCAGATAAAAGACTATGGATTTTTAATGAAATAGAACTGAAGGCTGCGGTTTTAATCAAAAGGGACTTATAAATAGAATATTATTGATTTGAAAACAAAATAATATGTTGAAAATTCCCTGATGATGAAGGGATATAAAGGAGCAGGTGTAACCTGAGTACTTTAATAGATGAATCAACCACCGGTTTATGATTATGAGCAAAGAACTGGTCTGAAATCTTCCTTGCTTCATTTTGCTCTGTCAGTAGTAAGTCACTCAATCTTCTCAAATTTAGCTTCACAAGAAAAATTAATTTCAATTTTCTGTTTTTTACTATCTGATAAAATTAGTCTTTTTCAACAAGAAAAAAGAATTCAGTTTTTTCTTTTAAAATCGATCAAAAAGTAAATCGAGAGAAACAAAACAATACAGCAACCATACACTGACGATCACCCAGTAACTCACCGGGCAAATCCACGAACGACGTCTAATCAATCCAGGAGAAACAAAACTGACCTACCTATTGAAGCTTGACTCGAGTAATCAACACCACCATCAACCATAGTAAGAAGGTAAAATATTAAAGAAAAAACAGGATTATAAACCCCATCATAGATATATTTCATTAAGCTGTTCGATTCATTTATATAAAACAATATCCCTGTCAATCAAACCAGTCAATTTTTCAGACAATTGTTTCTTTCAAAAAAAACCAACCGATTAAAAATTAACTACTGCTAATATTTAGCAACTTCGCGAAAATGAATAGAAATTTTCATCATTTTCGCGAAGTTGCTGAATATTAGCAATTCTAATTTCAACATTTACACTTCTTGTCATTCTCCAGAATGATGATACGCAAAAAGTATCGGGTTCTCACAAAGTTACTCGTTATGACTGTTCCGCGATGCAGGAAAATCAAATGTATGCTTTAAATCAAGTGGCTCCATGTAAAATTAGCCCAGAAAACCTCTTATACTACCAACCTCTTATACTACCGATAGCACAATTAGCGCATATCAGCGGTCTTATATATCATACGTGAACGCAGTTATAAGTAAAGTAAAATAATTTCCCATTCGTTATAACTGCGGAATGTGAGCAAATTCCTCCATCGTTCAGAACATGAACATGATTACCTATGAAATTATTAAACCACCGGAAGATTGCGAAAAAGCAGCAAAAGACAACAAAATTACAATGAATGAAGATGGACACACCCATGAACTAATTGTCAAGATGGATGAAAGTATTCTACAATACAGAAACGAAGGAACGTTACTAGACGGCGACAGTTCGACAGCATGTAACCTTTGGCACCAATATAACTAAATTTGAGGCGAGAGCTCTCGCCGAAAAAAAACGCAAATGCTCAAAGAACAATAGCCTGTTTTTTTTTTTAATTTTGCCCCTGCGGCGCATAATAATAAAATTTTCGACAAAATTGGGACCTTATAATCTTTTCAGAGAGCTCGGAAACCTAAAAATTGCCGGCAAAATTGTCTTTTTTTTTCGAAAAACCGCCCTCTCGAAAAAATTCTAGATCCACCCCCTGGAAACAAAAAATTAAAGCCGCTATAAACCTGAATTAACGCACTACTCAAATAAGTCATACCCGAGTTGACTAGATTTTACCGTTCGTCTCACTAAATAAACTTTATTCTATTCTGTTCTCTATAGATTTCAACCTAAACCGATATTAATGAGCAAAGCCACCCTCTAGAAAAATTTCTGCGCACCCCACTGATTTCATCATGGACACGAAAGTATAACAGAAAAGACCACATTAATTTAACATTTGAGTATTTTTCATACTGTAATACTAGTTTTTTTGCTTTATCTCTTTTTATCCAAGTTTAAGTGACCTAGATATAGTGTATACAACATTAAGTGCAGTCTAGTAGATACTGTTTAAAATAATTTTGATTGGCTTCTGCAACACGAGTGAGCGCCAGTTAGATTTTCACGGAAATCTCGTGTCGGGTCATGTCGTGTCCGTTCGGATGTTGTCAATGGCTGTTGTCGTTGGAGTGAGACTGAGACTCAAAGAGGGCGAGTGACAACATGAGGCAGAACCCAAGCACCAGCCCCATGTTCTGTACGCCAAATACAATCCAGGGCGAGTTAGTGTTAACGTGCATCATTTGTGGCAACTAAACAGCAGTGTACAACTGTGAACTATAAAACATCATGGTGATTGACACGACTGTTTACCATATTTCTACCAGGAATTGTTTTTATTCACCTTTCCGTTTGTGACAAAACCCGTAATGTTGACGAATAATCCAAGTCCAAGGTTGTATAGTCTTCATAAACGATGTTTTGAAGTCATTGGTTGCCTCAAAATTAGATTCAGTGGGGGAAGAAATTCAAGACATAATCTCATACTAACCATGTCAATGAATGCGACGTATATGAACATGCCAGCTGTGAGTGCAAATATCCACTGGTAGGCGGAACTGTGGTGTTCCGACAGAAACAGACCAATGTACAAGCCCAGGAAGGATGCCATCGAAGATATCGCATTCAGCACCAGAATACGCACAATTGGAATGCCTGAAAACAGTGTACCCTCGTCAGTGTATTAACAATGCATCTTTCATTCGCTCATCAAAACTTAGGTTTGAACAACAAAATCCAACATACAAGCCAGAGCTGTTGTTGTTGTTGTTGTTAGCCCACGCGGGTCGGGTTGGGCTCTTCTGTCTCCAGGTCAAGGAACTTAGCAACCTCTACCGGCCGAAGCCACAGGTCTGCTGGGGTGAGTGGGGAGGGGTTTTGGGAGCAGTTGAAAAGGTGACATGTTGTGTGGGGGGCAAGGGAACAGGTTGGGCAAAGGTGGGAGATGGAGCTGTCGAGGCGGGATAGGTAAGTGTTAAGGAGCCGGCTGTAGCCAGACCGGAGTTGGGAGAGCTTACAGCGCGTGGGACGTGGGAGAGATTTTTCAGAGGGGTCAATCTTTGGGGGAGGGATACAAATAACTTTAGACGGAGGGGTTTCGGCTAGGAACTTGGTTACAAGGGAGGTATGGTTGTCTTTTAAAATTGGTTTGTAGTAGTTAAAAATAAAAGTGGAGACTTCGTCTCGGTCGTCCAGAACTAGAGGGTGGTTTGCGTAGACTGAAAAGTCGGTTAAAATTTTCTGGGTGTCTTCTTTGAAGCAGCTTATAATTGAGGGGCGAGGTAGACGGGGAGGAGGGGGATGTGAATGTATAAAATTAATGGGATGGTGGGAACGATAGGTAGAGATAAAAAATTGAGATGACAGAAGGGTATGGTGGTCTTTGACCGTTAGGATTCACTGTGCAGGTGGGCAGTGGAACTCATTAGTTTTGATCCAGTAACAACGCGAAGGGATTGGTTTTGTGCAACCTGCAGGCAATTTATGGAGGTGTTACTTGATGCGTGGGACCATGCGGGTGCTGCATAGTCAAGTATCGGGCGAATTAAAGCTTTAAAAGTTAGGAGGAGGGTTTCTTTGGAGTGACCCCAGGTTGATCCTGCTAATGCCTTCAGGATTCCGATCCTGCGTCTGGCCTTTTCAGCGGATTGTTTGCAGTGAGTGGCAAAACAAAGTGTTGGATCAAATGTCACCCCTAAGATTGTTGGATTTTTGTTTAGGGGTAGCGCCTCGTTATTTAAAAGAACACTAGGTGTTTTATTAAATTCTTTGTTATAAGAGGAGAAAAGTGTAACTGATCCTTTAGAGGACGCGAAACTTAGTTTGCGTGAGGTGAAAAAATCGTAGATCCTTTTTAGGTAGCTATTGATGGAGTTTGAGGCGATATCAATATTGGAACTGCTTGCGAAGGGGTGGAAATCGTCTGCATACGAAACAAGGTTTACATTATCGGGAGGTGGCGGTGCATCATGGACATAAAAATTGAAGAGTGTGGGTGATAAAACAGAACCTTGGGGTACGCCACAGTGGATTATTCGATGGGGGGATGTGTGTTCACGGAATGAGGTGGCAGCCTGTCGACCATTAAGGTAATTACTTAGCCAGCGGACTAGACTTCTTGGGAGGGGAGTGTCATGAACGAGTTCCACAAGTGAGCGATGACACACCATGTCGAAAGCCTTAGATAAGTCAAGTGTGGCCAGTACCGTACGTTTAGGGGGGCGATTTTGGTTAAAACCGTCTGAAATGTAAAATTCGAGAGTGGAGAGAGCTGTGGTGGTGGAGTGAAAAGGGCGGAAGCCGTGTTGGTGTTTGGCGTTGGGGAGATGTTTGGTAAAGATGGGGTGAACGAGCCTCTCCAGAATTTTAACTGCTGGGCAGAGTAAGGATATAGGTCTGTAAGATGTTGATTGTTTAAGATCCTTATTGGGCTTTGGAAGCGGTGCAATTTTTGAATTTTTCCAAATTTGGGGGATAATGTTTTCGGACAAAGAGATATTAAAAAGGTATGTTAAGTATTGAGTAGCAAGTGGGCCGAGATGTTTAAGATGTATATTACAAAGGCCGTCGGGACCTAGCGCTCGCGATGGTTTGCTGTCTGCAATGGCTTGTTTAGTATTTTTAGGGGTAAAAATTGGGCTGTCTGACAGCGGTAGTTTGGCAATTTTTCTTCTCGTTATACGAAGGAGTTTGTCAGAGGCGTGGGGTCTGGCATTGGTGAATTGTTTGTTAAAAGAGCTGGTAATATCACGAGGTGAGTGTATGGGTTTAGAACCAAAAGTAATGGGGTGTCTTCCTGCCACGGGCTTAGATCCATTTAAGGAGCGTACCACTTTCCAGAACTTTCTGGCACCAGTGCGGTAGTCGCAAGTCCGGAGGAATTCTCGCCATTTATTTTCTTTGTCCTTTGCTGTCTGTTTCATGAGTCTACAGTTCAGTTGGGATATGACTTCTGGGGGAAGATTTTGTTGTCGGCTTAAATCTCTTTCGGCGGCAAGGGCAGTGGACTCGGGGGAAAGAGAGGGAGTGAAGTGGCGAATACGGCCAGCGGGGATGTGGTGGCGTGCTGCCCTGAGCACCAGGTCCCTCAAGAATTTCTCTCCGGCGGCAACTCCGGAAGGTGGAACCGCTGAAAAGAAACGCTCCTCAATTTCCTCTGTGAATTTGATCCAATCTGCTTTTAAAAAATTTATAAAAGTCCTTTTAGGTGAAAAATTTGTAAAATCATCCAAGGGTAGTTCTAGAAGAATGGGTAGGTGATCTGATCCTAGAGATTTAATTGGGGTCCATGATGTGGAGAGTAAGAGCGATTGGGATGCGAGGGAAATATCTGGTGACGAGAGTTGGTTTTCTGAGTTAAAAGGGACTCTGGTTTGTGTGTCATCATTTAATGGTGCAAAGGTGGATTCGGTTATTTCATTGCTAAGTACAGAGCCGCGTTGATCTTCCTCGATGTTGGAGTTCCATAGTTGTGAATGTGCGTTGGCATCCCCGAGTACTAAGGCGTCCCCAGGTTCAAGTAGTTCGGCAAGGGACGCAGAGTAACCAGGGGGACAGCTCGAGCGAGGGGGGATGTAGAAATTATAAATACGAAGCTTGGATGAACTGGCTACCACTGATATGCCCATAGCCTCTAGTGTTCCATCGTTGTTAATATTTATTTCTTCGTATTGTATCGACTGATGTATGGCTATGAGAAGAACGCCCCCTTCTTTTTCTCGATCTTTTCTAATTAAAGTGTAGTGTGAGCCAAGTGAGGGGTTTCGAGATTTCTTTCTTAATTTAGTTTTTTGGAAGACAGCAATATGAATTTGATTTTGAGATAAGAAAGCAGCAATTTCGGGTGCTTTTCCGGAGATACCGTTGCAATTAAATTGAAGGATTTTTAAAAGGCCTTTGGCGGGGTGTGGTGAACTATTTACACTATTAACAGCAGTATGGTTAAAATGGTTGTTTGAACTTGAGTTATTTACACTATTTACACGATTACGATTTGCGCGATTTTGGGAGGAGGAATTATTATTCGAGGAGGTGGGAAGGGTGGGAGGGGGAGGGGGGTTAGGGAGGTGGGGTTGGGGGGCGGTTAGGGAAGTTGAACAAGTTTGGGAGTTGGGGGTGGTCAAGTTAGAGGACCTGGTGCCTGGGGGAGGTAAAATGTAGGTAGAGGTACAGGTAGGGCAATAGTAGTCAGGGTGGTGTTGGTTAAGGTGGGTAAGACCACTACATTTAAGGTGAATGTAACCACAGATGTGGCACCAGACACTGGGCTGGGTGCGTTTGATGCGGAAAGAGCAAGGGGAGCAAAAGTAAGGCCCTGGACCAGGGTTTGGATTAATGCCGGAGCGGAGTAGTAGTATAAGGATGAGCAGACGGAGCAGCCTGGCCGGCTTCAGACGCTCCGTAACCGTAAACCCGGAGACTTCTGAGCTTCTCCCGACCCAATGGGAGGGGGGGCTTGACGCCATTTGCATCTTGGTGGGGCCCAAGATGTCGGATCCACCACTGGAAGGCGGCGTCGTCTGGATCCACAAGCCAGAGCTCGCAGTTTTAAAACGCTAAACGCTTCTCCCCAACTCTGTTTGCATAGCCCTTCATCTAAAGAACGGTTTTCGTGGCACTGTTTTACTGTTGTTGCATGGCTAGTTTAGTGAACTTCATAATCACTTCGAAACAATTGTTCATCAGGTTTAATCACTATGCAAAGGACTAAAAATAATTCATAACAGATAATTCGGTTATCAGCAAGTTTGCCTCCATAATTCACCACACAACGCCTCAGGCGCCCCAATTAAGCCAATGATAAATCAGTGAAAATAGGGAAGAAAAGCCGGCAGCTTCCGCAAACAGTAATATTTATTTGAACTGCTGGCATAAGCAAGACAAGCCTTGTGGGATGCTTGAAGCAGGCACCGTCTACGCCACTCAGGTCGGTAGTTCGAGGCCTACTGTGATCCATACTTTTCCTGCGCTAAGCTCAATTCTACGCCAGAAAAATTAGATGTAGGTTATAAGCCAGGTAAAAATAGCGCTTATGGGAAGGAAAATTCACAGATTCACTAGTGTATAATTGGTCTACGAAAAAATGACCGGACTTCAGTTATATAATCATAATATCCGACAGCTATAATCAGAATTATCATCTTATTCGACAGAATCATCAACTTATCCGAAAGCTATATTCAAAATGATCACTTATCCGACAGCTATATTCAAAATTATCATCTTATCCGAGAGCTATATATAGAAAACTAGAACTGACCACAGTCGAATAGGATGGCGAAGTCTCCCAATTCGTGAGGCAATTCATGGAAGATGACTGCAATACTAGTAGCCAGTCCGGCACTCTGGCCTGCTCCAAATGCAGCCCCGACTGCCAGGCCATCTGCCAGATTGTGGAACATATCGCCCAGCATGATCATCATGACTAGAGGGAACTTGTCCTCTGGGATTCCAAACCGAGTATCCTGTCCACTCGTCACACATTTGGACTGCTTGGCCATCTTCAGAAATGCATGCACGCTCTAAGAACAGAAATACATTGCATACAAAACACAGCTTATTCTTTGGTTTATATGAATTAATCCAGGCCAACAAACAGTTGGAAAAGAGTCAATGAACGCAAGTAAACAGAATAAAAAATACAGTGCTTGTTTTTTGAAAAAACATCAACAGTATTGAAATATCCCAAAAGTTTTTCCCGTTGATCAGAAAATAAGCGTCGAGATTTTTCCTTCGGTTTTCAAATAAATAACAATGACATCATCTTTGCATTCTTTCAATTTCAAAACAACTTTACGATTCCAAATTTTACACAGAGGCCAAGCGGAGCTTCGCACCACTTGCGATTTAACAGAAACATAAAAAAAACATTTACTCGAAAAAAGTTAAATGTTGAAGTGAAGAAAAAAAAATCGGGGCCCAGCTAAAGCAGGAGGTATGTGTTTGATATTGAATGAGTTTGCTATACTGATGCGGTACGAAAAGTGTGATTTCAAAAATTGGACTTCGCACAAAACCTTAGTTGTTTCTACTAAAATAAGTTAAAAGATTGAAAAATTTTGAGATAATCGATTTTCCCAAAAGGAGATACCATTTCTCCTACAAAAAATAAGGAGCCGTCGCTTCTGCAGGGATTTTTTAAATCTCAGATTTGATTGTGAGTAGTTTTTCAGATTTGATTGTTTTTCCCGGTAAGAGCAGGTTGTGGCCGCTTAAGCAGACAAAATTCACAAAACCGGGTTTCTCGATTGAATTGGGTTTCTAAGAATTGGCACGGTAGTTTTCGCGCAAACTTTGACTTGTTTGAGTACCATAAATTTTTTAAAACAAAGTGGGCATAGCCAGTTATGAAGATAGATTTTCAACAACCTGTTGTTTCGATTCATTCTATGATCTAAGATATCAGATTTGGCAGGATAAATTGCGAAAAAAGTCCAAAAAACGCTCAACTAATCAAAACTTGGACATTTCCGAGAATCATAGCTTTTTGTGTGAGAAAATAGCGCGTAGCCACTTATGCCGAAGGGATTCACTCAACCTGTAGTTTCGATTGAATCCAAAATCTCAGATTTGGGAGGGTAGTTCTCGAGAAAGGTCAATAGTTAAAAAACGGTCAGAAAATCAAAATTTTGATTTTTCGGAGAGCCATAGCTTTTAGTGTCAGCATAAGCAAATGAGCTTCCGATAACCCATTCTTTGAATTGAACCCAAAATCTCAAAAATGGCAGCGATTTTTTGTTATATGATCAAGTTTAAAAAACGGTCAAAAATGAAAAAAAGACTACTCCGAGGGCCATAACTTTATGCTTAGAAAAATTTGAACCTAGCCGCTCATGAAGGGAGCTTTTCGAAGCCGTTCTATTCATTGAAACCAAAAACTCAAGATTTGGGAGATTTATTTTTCGAGAAAATGAAAAAAAAAATAAAAAAAATATGGGTAAAATATTCCCCCACAGATATTTTCGAACGCTGTAGACAGAGGGCTCAAGTGCGAAGAGACTCTAGGCGAGTAAACAGGCAGACAGGGGAGTAGGCGATCTTCCAATTGATACCCTTATTGAAAATCAGAAGAAGTTTCTGAAAACTTAAACTTTTCCAATAAATTTGGAAATAATTTTCCATAATGAAAACTAGCCGCTCATGAAGGGAGCTTTTCGAAGCCGTTCTATTCATTGAAACCAAAAACTCAAGATTCGAGAGATTTATTTTTCGAGAAAATGAAAAAAAAAATCAAAAAAATATGGGTAAACTATTCCCCCACAGATATTTTCGAACGCTGTAGACAGAGGGCTCAAGTGCGAAGAGACTCTAGGCGAGTAAACAGGCAGACAGGGGAGTAAGCGATCTTCCAATTGATACCCATATTGAAAATCAGAACAAATTTCTGAAAAACTTAAGCTTTTCCAATAAATTCGGAAATAATTTTCCATAATGAAAACAAAAAGAAATATCAACAAACCGATTGGCAAATACACAACCAATTTGAAAATTGCAAAGGAGTGTTAAAATTGTGATTCCCTATAACCGACCCAAAATTAGGTCATTAAGCCGATAAAAAATAGGCCAAAATAACTAGAGGCGCAACTAAAGCTGGAAATACCTGTATGGTAATTTTTGATTTTATTGTTCTGGTGCGGGATGAAATGGTTAAATTCAAAATTTTAAAAATTAGACTTCAACCAAACTTAGTTAATGCTTTTTAAAAAATGAGTTAAATTTTTGTGATTTTGGAATATTCTCGGAGACATGAACTTTTTGACCAAATTTTAGGGCGTAGTATCTTATTCACGGAGGCTTCCCACAACCTGTTGCCTCGATTAAACCCGCAATCTGTTGCCTCGATTGATATCAGATTGAGTTGTTTTCGAGAGGAGTCCAAAAGTGTCAAAAAAGACGGACAAGAAATCAAAACATTGGCTTTCAGAGGGTCATATATTTTTGTGTGAAAAATTTGGGCGCAACCGCTTATTTAGTGGGCTTCCCACAACCCGTTTATTCCATTGAAACCAAAATCTCAGGTTTGGGAGGGTAGTTTACAAGAAAAGTCAAAAAATTTCAAAAAAGGGACAAAAAATCGCAAATTTGACTTTTCCGAAGGTCATAGCTTTCTATTTTAAAAAAAATAGAATCACTTATGCAGGGGAGATTCCCACAACCTGTTCTATTCACTGAACTTAAAATTCCAAATTTGGGAGGGTAGTTTTTGAATAAAAAATGTCAAAAATCCAAAATTATAGGTCAAAAATCCCCCATACACTTTTTCGAAGGCTGTAGAAAGCGAAATAAGGTTTTAAAAAAGCCTAGGGAATTACACAGACGCATAGAGAAGTAGACGGACTTTTTCATAATACCTGTTTTTATCAAACAGAATTTTTCATAATACCTTGTTTTATCAAACAAGCATTTGGGCCGAGGTTTTTTTAGGGAAACGAAAAAAAAAACAAACAAAGAAATACGAAATCGAGGTAAGTAAAATTACAAATTGTAAGAGTAAATCAAACACTATAAGCAACATTTAATAAAATAGCGCGCAGCAAAAAATGGAATCCAAGATATGACAACTAAGCCGACAACAAATAAGCAGACAAATAATTGGCCGACAATTTTACTTGATAGACTATTTCCCATTTGAAAAAAAAAACAGGTCCTGGTCAGATTCGAACCTGGACCTCTGCCGTCCCAGGCCATTTCTTTACTTCCAGGCTAAGTTGGCTCGGAACGCAGAAAAGCTTGAATTCATTATGAACCAAGATACGAGTGATTCTGTTAGACAAGTTGATAACACGAAAAAGTATATTCCAGTTTGATAACGCGTAAAAACTTATGCAATCAGTCTGTAACTTAACTGAAACAAAATTTCTACCTTTTTGAGCTCTCATTACTTCGATTGTACCAAAAAGAAAGATAGTCCTAGAAAACTCTTAGTTTCATTGATATACCTTCTGTTCATTTGTGGAGTTTGCACCATTAGTTGATTTGCAGCAACTGTTCGGTTTTGGAATCACACCCGCAGTACTATCTTGAGGCTGGCTACTACTTGCAGCAGTACACACAGTAGTTCCCGCGTGGTCTATGTCTCCTGCATATACAGAGTTGCGCCTTTCTCTGTCTCTACAGGAGCTAACTGTGATCACGTGAGAGCAGTTCTTTAAAATTCCACTGCTGACACCAACGCCTCCTGAAACGAAAGTATATTCAAATAAATCGACGAAAGACATCTCACACAGAGTCTTCGAAACTTTTATTTGGAAAATCCACCCCCTCACGAAATTTCTAGATACGAGGGTGTAAAGGAGAGAAAGCTCTATGGCAGCCGGAAATCAGTAAATCAAGTACAAAAAATTGCTCTAGGTTTTGTTCAATTTAGTCCTCGGGTAAAAACATAGCCGACAAATGGAATAGCCAATGAATGTTTTTCATGACCTTTACACTTAAGCTGTTCGATAGTAGAGTTATAAAACAAATAAATATAAAATCAAACACCGAAAAATCAAATTTGAGCGTGAACAAACTTTAAGCCCGTTTGCCGAAAAAAAATCATCGCAATCTATATCAGTGACTTCATTGCATTCATTGAAACTTCATAAAAACAGAGGAACTAAAACAAATTCAATTCGAAAATCACATTGATCATTGTAAATGGTAGCTTTTGAAAGCAATCATTCACTCGAGGTATTTGAAACCCAAAAGTACCAACATTTCAAGTAAATCAGTGTCCACTCACCGTGTATTGTGACACTACTGCATGTGTCCGCTGCTGTTGCTGTGTTACTGCAAACGATTGATCCATTCATCAGGGGGTCCACCTCCTGCTCTCCCTTCTCACCCACGCCCGCATCCAGATTGGAGAAGTCCGCAGCACCTCCGCCACCACAAGATCCATGCACTTCTTTGGTTCCTTAAACATCATTTCTTAATTGATTACTTTATACATATATTTCGTGTAAGATGAAAAGCTGCCAATTTCTATCTTTTCACTGCACTGGTAACTCGAAAAGCAAGCAAAATTGATCATTTTGACAAATGAGTTTGAGAGCGAATCAATTTTTACTTTCATGAGCCCTTTTACTATGTTCAGCAACCTTTAAACATAGCGACTAACCTAAACAACTGCTCATGCAATTTGAAGTCTCGGCATGTTGTTCCAAATCGAGATCCTCTGGGGACTTCTGGAAGTGATTGTGCACGTGTACACGTGCCCCTGTGGAGATCGGCGAGGATGGACACATCATCTCCTCCGCCTCTTCATGGTCCGACAATGAACTACTTTCTCTTTTGTGATACTTGCGATGACTATGGTGATGATGGTTATTATTATTATGACCATGATGATTATGATGATTTTGGTGACCATGTTCGTGACGATGGTTCCGGTCTCTTCTTCTGGCGTCGACTTCCTCACTCTTTAATGATACATAAAAATACAACAACTATTGAATCTTGCCAAAATTATTATCAACATCTTTCCTATCGCACACGAGAATTCATTCTGATCGTTCTTGAAGTTTACCAAAATATTCTGGTAATTATTCTTTTTTTTGTACCGACGACGTAGTCAAGCAAGTTAGTAATCATGCATAATTCTTTTCCCTGCAGAAGCAGCTTCCACGAAGACCTTTCATTCAATGTCAAGATATGTCATACTGAAACCCTTTTAGTCGTGATTCGAATTAAACATCGTTCTGAATAATTACTTTTCAGACCAATTTTGAGCGGAGACTGAATGATATTAGAGAAACGCACAAATTACAATAAGGGGTTACATTCTGATCGAAATTCTTTTAAACTAAAAATGCAATTTTCAATATCGTTAAAAAATCCATTTTTGCGACTTCGTCATTTCAAAAAACTGAATCGGATGCAGTACAAATATTAACATAGAGGCGAAGTTGCACTTCGCATACACAAGCAAAAATATTACTGATAACGCTACTGGGAAAAACTGAAGTAGAGCTTAGAGTCTATCAAATTTCTTAGTGACGCACGCCAATTATGAGTCTACCTATTTTCTAAGTGACGCAAGCCAATTCTGACGCATTAGCAGTACGTCAATTTGAAGAAAAAAATTACCAAGTAACATGCGTCAATTTATAGAGCGGACGCATGTTAACTACTATACGAAAAAGCTTATTCAAACATCTGACTCTGCCCAGGTTCGAACCCTCTTATTTGTTGCGCGTCTCCTTCCCTACCTCTACGCTACAGATCCATGATACCTTGAAGCTAAAGTGGTATTTGTAATATAATAGTGTGTTAATATCCTTAGCATTGGCTGTTCTTAATTGCTGCTTATTGATCAAACTGCATACTAATATTTGCGATTTAGATTGGAAAAAAAGAGCTCATACTATCACACAAGCTTTGTTTGTGTAAACAATAAGAAAATCGTCACAGAACTAGGCTGGAAAATCCAGAAGACTGGGAGAAAACTTATTTAAACTTTTGAGTTACAAAAAAATCTGAACATCACAAATGTTTCACCCCCTCCAGGAGCACAACTGCAAAAAAAAGGGTTGGCTCTTCAAACGAAAATTCATAATGCAACAAAACAGATATAACATCAGCCGAAACCATGTAAGCCGAAGAAAACTTCAAGTGAAAAAAAAGGAAAACAATCTGCGAAAAACGGAAAAGAAAAACAAGAGTTGTTTTGAAAGCCACAAATTTCGAATGGAACGGCCATAAAAAAAGACATGCTCAAAAATTATCTGTTGCCTGGCTTTCCATCAGAACAGACTTGCCAGCTGATTGTGTTTAACTAGTTGTTAACCCGAAAAAGTCTATATTTCGATTTGATAACGCTTGCTATCATAAAGTCTATAAAGTAAACGGTTACAAGATGTAGATGTACCAATTACAGGAAAACAACAAAACTGCTAATTACATAGATATTGTTTACCACACAAAATAGTCAGTATGTGGCAACTAGGCCGACAAAATGTAGACGATAGGCCGACACTTTTTGGAAACGGGAAATTTTCAGTTCAAAAACATGTCCCGCCTGGATTCGAACCTGACCTTAGTTGAGACAACTTTGCGCTTCTAAACCTCTAGCTTGAACAATATGAATGCCCCGATAAACGATCAAAAATTGACTAAAAAGGTTAATTTCAATGCCACCATCATCGAGTGGTCAATGATCGAGTGGTCAATCTGTGTTACAGCCAAAATTTTGAAAAATAGTGCCAAAATATTGGAAGCTCCGCCGACTGTACTGCCTTGATCCAATTGCATCAAAATGGTATTCCATTAAACGGTTGGATCAAATTAACTGCAACACTTGGCTCACAGTTTATGTTTGTTCACAGAAATCAGCAAACTTCAGCAGTCAAGTTAGATATTTGGATTATAAGGGGCAAATATAGATCCATCTCTCAATAAACCTTACAATCTAAATCAGTAATTCTACTACACGTAAATATGTAAAATGACACTACTATGTCCGAAGCTTTTCTTCGTTCTTGTCTAAATCCATCTTGATGCCCCTGACAGTTCAAAGCCCCCCTCTGTACAGATATTCAACTTAAGTAAAATTGCTGAGTCTGTTTCACGAAACATGCGTATTGGAACACCATTGCAATTAAATTTTTTTTTGCAAAACAACCATGCTGCAGCCATCAAATGGCCACAAGTTACCAGAAAGTTGAAAAGGTGTCACTGAACTCAAGAAAACAAAAAATGGTTTTTTGGAATATTTTGTTTTCAGTGTCGAAGCTCTTTGAATTTAAAGAATCATAACGACTGACAATTTTTTCAAAAAACTAGCTAAAAAAACTGGTTTTGTTTTTGAAAGAATACTCAGCCAATGTATATTTCTTTTTATTCCCCTTAGAAATCTGACAATTAAACTCAAATTTTGAAACAACAAGTCATTCTCGCTTTTTTGTGCAAATTGTAATTTTAATCTGAAGCGAGTAAAAAGCCTTCTTTTTAGCAAATGAACATAAACAATAATGAACATACAAAAATATCAAATATCAAACATCAAACAAAAACGCAAACAAATGTACACAGAGGCGAAGCCAAGCTTTGTATCACTTGCTATACAAAAATGAATGACTATGAAGACGAATCAAAAACAGAAAAAAACTACAAAAAATCGTTTTTTTTGTCAAAAGTCACAAAAATTGCAAAAAAGGACAAACTATTCCTGTAAAACATTACCTGCACCAATAGAAACTTTACAAAGAGCTTTCAAAATGTTAAACAGAAATCGAACTTTTCTGCGGACCTATGCCGAAAAATAAGCAGACACGAAATTTTCAGTTTCAACAAAAAAACAGGTCCCGACTGGAATCAAACTTTCCGATTCGAACCATTGACCTTTGTCTTTATAAGCAAGAGCGTTAGATCTTGCCGCATGAGCGAATTTACGTCTGAATTTTGTAATCATTATGAATCAAAAGTCAAATTATTCAAGTGATTTGTTAAGCTAGTTGTTAACACAAAAAAAAGTCAAAATTGCGATTTAAAAACGCTTCCTGATCGCAAGCGTAATTATCTTCACCGAAGAAAATCATCTACAAAGCATGGGACTGGAACAATAGCGAGTTAAATTTTGAACAAAACTAACTCCGTGAAAAAAAAAACAAAAAATATTGAAAAGTCAACATTTTTTATTTTTAAAAGTTGATTTTCAGATTATGAACATAAATTGACAAAATTGAGTCTATTTCAATTTAAAATATTTACCAAAACTAATTGAAAAACATTAGGTAAATGAGCCGACAGAAATAAGGCCGACAACCAATAACCTGAATATAATCCGAAACTTTTTCGAAAAAAAAAAACAATTACAAGACTTGCAACAAATTTCAATTTTTTAGTTTAAAAAAAACAAAAAATAAATCATCGCGACCTACATAAGAGAATGAAATACGTTCATCAAATGTTAACATAAAATTTTTGGCTATCAAGCAAAAACATATTATCCTATATAGATTTTTGGAGACTTCACTCTTCTGAAACTTTGTTGAGCTGTGTAAGAGGCTTCTTTTGATATAATTGTACTATCAATCAACTATGTAGTTTTCGGGTTATAATTGATTAACAAGAATAGCCAAAATGATGCATTTATGGGGTAAACGTTTGGTTTCGAATTTGGCAACATAAATTGCGCCATGATAATTCTAATAAAATTCTAAGCAACTTTTGTTCTTTTTCTCCGGATAATTTAAATCAGCACTGTATTCCTATCGCAGTGAATGTAAGCGCAGCCGATTTTCTTATCAACCCGCGACAGTTGCTTGTGAAATAACACGGATGCCTCTACTATCAACTTACAGTACATCCATAATATAACTTTCGGTCCTTACACCTAATAAAATAGCATCCAATACTCTGCTGACTAACAAACTGACTCGATTGCCGACTTAATTGTTGAGTGACTTACCGCGAGTGAGTGAGTGTGTCTGTGGTCTATGGACTGGTGCATAAGTGTCTCGAAGATGTAGAACAGATACACAGCCCCAACCACTGCCACACTTCTCCACAGCCACACCTCGTCTCCCTCTCCTTCCCCGCCCCCCTCATGATCATGCTCCGCTTCGCCGCTGACCCCAGAGCCTGAACCCGGGTGATGCGGTGAATGCAATTCCACAGCCTAAAACCAAACACGGTAGTCTATTGCGCAATTCGAGTCAAAACTTTCATATGCTGAAGTTTATATTCGAATTTAACATACAATGAAAGTTATGGTACACCTTTCGCCAGGTATAACTCCTCTTAGCAAATTTTCTATTAGGCCTCAAATTCTAATACCCAATTAGATAACAATGATTAGTGAAATTAACCTCTAATTTCATAGACCGAACCATCAAATTTATTTGCACAAAAGATAATTTTTTATAGCAGGAATCGATCTACTTGGCAGCTGATCTTCAAGCTAAAAAATACTTCGACCTAAGTTTCAAGAAATCAATTCTTACCATTGGCCATAGGTGAAGAATAGCATCACACGCCATACTAGACACAGCCAGACCAATGAAAAATTGAAGCATGATCTGCATAGCTGCCGAGTTTCGATCGCAGAGTACCAAAGGAATCCCCAAGAGCGACAACATACTGCAAAGCAAAATAGCTACCGTGCCGTAAACTGTAGCCATGCTCCTCGGTTCGACGGCGGAGTCTGCTAACTTTTTAGCTTCCCAGTGTTTCACATCATCCTTATGATCGCAACTATTCGATAGTATAGCACGAGAAAACAAAGCGGGGCATATTTTCAGTAGTTCGGAATCCGTAGGGCTTGTCCAGTTTATTGAATACAATCGTTGAACGTCCTCGTATGATAGACATGTCTATAATATGTTGCATTGATTTTTGGGCTAATTTTAAACAGCAAAAATTTTACAGGAAAACTACAAAAACCCCCAAAAAAATTTAAGATATTTTTAACATTCGAGCTTCACAGATCAAAACCAATTGGAAAACATTTTATGATCGACATTTTTTTGATTTAACAAAACCAATTTGAGAAACCTGGAGTCATAGATAACAGCAGAATTCCGCTGAATTATTGGAGCATAATTTGCCTTCCATGTGAAGGAAATCATATTCAAACACAAACCGACAATATAGAAAATGAGCGCGGAAAAAGTATTACACGTCTTCCTGGAAAAAAAACAAAGAAAAGAACAGCCAGTTACTGTTCAATTAGCGAAAAATCTCGGATCCAATATACTTAAAAATACATGAAACTTGGAGCTTTGTTGTAAATTTATTGAACATTTTTTCACAGAGGCAAGCAGAGCTTCGCATTACTAACTATAGAAAAATGAATGACTCGCAATAATTGCAGATGAACCGACAAATCGAGCAAAAAAAATTACAACAACATCCTTGAAACTGAAAAAACTGCACTTTCCACATGCGATAAAACCCATACATAGCAGGACAAACTAACCGACAAAAATAAAGAGATGAAAACTGTGGAAAAAAATTGATCTACTCAAAACATTTTCAAGTCCCCCTCAAAAATTCGAAAAAACGGGCATTTAAAAAGCAGACATGCTCAATAATTGTATGTTCCTCATTATTGTGTTCGTTGAAGAAAGTAGATATGAACAAAATTTCACTCATCCTGTGAAAAAAGTTACTAACGGGAAGAAGTCTGGTACCCGATTGCCATACCCTTGCTTAGCGCAAGAAAAATCAATTTTTCGGGTGCAGAGTGCGAAGCGCTAAATTTAATTTCCTGAGACTAAAAGTAAACTTTTCGACAAAGATTTTGATATTACGCCATTTAGAGCAATCTAGGTCAATTTAATCCATACTCCACTCTTCACTTTAAGCATCAAAAATATAAATATCGAACTTCCGATACCGAGAGAAAAAAAAGAAAATGGCCCCAAGCCAAAAAAAAATCATAAAACGAAAAATGCAGCTTATTGTTTTTCCAAGGTTAATTTGATTTAAATAACTCAGGCAAAAAATCACTATCAGCGCGTTGTATTAAACGAACAAATGAAGCAAAAAATCCTAATCAGAAAAAAAAATCCCAAAACATGGACAAAAATAAAAAACATTAAACCATTAAGAAAAGCAGCCAGTCGAATCCAGTCAGTTATATAAATCCCAGACAAGTGTCACTTGGCAGAACCATTAATATTCAAAAAAATAACTAATACAGGAACAAAAAATAAAACTATGCTATAATAGAAAAAAATTCCAAAAACCAGTAAGTCGGGAATCAGGAAAAAGGCGCCATTTCAGGACCTAATACAATTTTGAAAAACGAATTTTGAAAGTCGATACCTAAACGATGTCAGTGTTGAAAGAAAAAGCAAAGAACCTCTCGGCAATCCTTCAAGAAAAGCTAGAACCAAATCCTGACAGACAAGAATAATCCAAGAAGTATCAAAACCACACAACTTAAAGCTTACAGATTTTTGAAAAATCTTAGAAAAACTTTTCCATGTTTACCTCCACACGCTTCTGCTGTTTCTACGACGTCTAAATTGAAAGCATAGACAAGTCAGCCAATAAAACTATCCAGAGTGCTATTTGGAAAGGAAATACAAACCGGGGAAAACTAGCTTTGTAAATCATTCAATTAAGCGTATCACCTTTTAATCCCCTTTTACGTGCGTTTTCAGAAGTAAGCCAACAACAAAAAAAACAACAAGAAGGATACCTGGTTGGTGTGCAAGAACCTCAAAACTTTCCTACTATATTCATTAAAAAAATTTCAACAAAAATTTTTTGTATCTTTTTAAAAGTTTTTATCAACCACTAAGTGAAGTTTTTAAAGCAAGATGTGATTCGAGAACTGTAAAAACGCGTAGAAACTTAGTGATTTCGACATATTGGACAATATTTTTCCAACAAAAATGACAAACAAAAAAGTATATATATATGTTTTTTTTTAACTCAAATTTTTCATATTTTTTTAGAAAACCTTTATTGCCAAAAAGCACTAAATTAAACATCCACAATTTGCTAACTTTACAGTAAATTTAGATTTTTAAGCCTATAAGTATAAATAAACCAAATTTTCATATAACAGTCGTTACTCGATCGCTTCACTTGCTCGAAATTACACTAATCAAAAAATTTTCTCAGCACTGACATTTTTTCAAAAAGTTTCAAAATGTCGTTCAAATCACGACTGAAAAAGCTTCAAATTGGTATATCCCTTGACCCATTCAAGTGATATTTTGTAGTACCTGAGTTTGCGTGGAAAACCAAAAAAAAAACAAACACTCCCGAATACAACACACCCGAATACAAAATTCCTCTCCATTTTTCGTAGAAAAGTTTTAGCCTGAAAAGCATTTTGAGCCGAATATTTTCAGTTCTAGAAACAGCTATTTCCGATTCAAGTTCCCGCATATTACACCTTAAAAGGATGTTTCATTGACTTTTGGCTCGGAAAACAGTGTAAAACGAATAAATGAATTTAAAAAAAACATCGAAGGCAGAGGACGAAAAAGCAATATCGTAACTAAAAGGAAAGAGGTCAAAAAACCATTATATTTTGGATAATCTTCACAATTAAAGTATGACACTTCCAACGCACAACTTGAAAAGAGGGAAGTGAACGCTTTTTTTTTAAATGCCATAAATCTTTAAAAACTATCTAGTCAAAAAATGGCGTTCTTCTACTGTGTTCTTCCGAGAGATTAAATTAATACCATAGAAATCACAGACCATTAAACAGCATACCACACACAATACTACCCCGCTAACCAACTGGTTAAATAGGCACTAACACTTGAAAGCTCGCACTTGACATTGACAGAGAGAGAGAGAGGCATAGCAGAATTTCGCACGACTTGCTACCCGTACTGAACTTTTTGTGCCATTTCACGGCTGATCATCCATTTAGCAGGGGAGAGAATATGCCGCAGACATGATAACGCCTGACTGAAAACTTGACAAATTCATATTTATTTATACATTACTCGTATCTTGACTAATTGGTCTTTGTAGTTAAAAAATCACTTTTTCAGATTTTGTTCGAAATGAGCTTATCCAAATTTACCTCCTCGAGTCAAATATCTTCAAATGAAGGAAATTATGTCGCATCTACATCCCAAAAAAGAGGACGTCAGGTTAGTTTCAGGGGGTCAACGGGAGGGATAGTCGAAAAAACTAAATATCCCCGGTTTGAACTAATTAAAGCAATTCGTCACAAAATTTTTTGGCCAATAATCCTTCAATTTTTGCGAACCAGTAGCCGCAATAATTGCGAATCAATTAAAAAGATTTGATTGGTTGATACTATTAATCTCATTGAATAAATTAACAACAAATGTGCGACTACTTTTTAACGCATGATTTTTGCAAAATTTGATTGGAACATAAAAATCTTTAAACTTTCGCAAACCAGTAGCCACAATAATTGCGAATAAATTAAAAAGATTTGATTGGTTGATACTATTAATCTCATTGCATAAATTGCATTTTGTTTGTTAAGCATTTGGAAAAATGGCTAGTTAAAAAGTCAAATTTTTTTTCTGGAGAAAAAAGAACCTACCCCGAGCGCAAATACTTTTGAATGAAATTTAATTTTGTTTTATTTAGTTAAAAGTTTTGACTAACAATTAGTTTTATGTTGACAAGAAACAGAGAAAAGTGTCCACACGCCCCGCTACCAACGACTCCCTGCTTGCAATCAAAGAAAGATGCATCTACCCACTACAGTAAATTTTCAACAAAAAACTTCACCGATGTCAGAAAAAATCTGAAAAAAAAAACTAAAAATTTGAAGTAAAGTGTCACATTATCAAGCTGAGTTTATGATGTTGTTACAATTTAACCATTTCTTTAATTATCTTATAATACTGAAGATACCGATTTGAGCATATTCGGTTCAGACATGGTCATGTATCCTGCATATGTGAGCATGTTTAGTTCAGGTATGATAATGTATCCTGCAGGTGTGAGCATATTCAGTTCAGGCATGATCATGTATCCTGCGGGTGTGAGCATATTCAGTTCAGGCATGATCATGTATCCTGCAGGTGTGAGCATATTCGGTTCAGGAATGATCATGTATCCTGCAGATGTGAGCATGTTTAGTTCAGTTATGATCATGTATCCTGCAGGTGTGAGCATGTTCAGTTCAGGCATGATCATGTATGCTGCAGGTGTGAGCATATCTTCAGTTAGCACACCTGATGCATGTCTGATGCAGGTATGTGCATGCCGAATATAGACATGCTGCACATCTGTTACAGACATGAATTTTGCATGATTTTACAATGATCAGATATGATTATGGCCAAAAAGTTCGGTACGGGTATACAACACACAAGTAGATCGGCACCTAGCTGAAAGAAATCGAAACGAAAATACCTGGGTAAAAAAAACAATATCAACCAAAATTTTTAAACGACTGTCTCCAGTGAAGTTCAATTTCAACAACAGAGGCCGATAAACAAAATTTCAAGACTTGAAATACCATTTAAACAAAATTTATCGAGCGTTTATTAAGCAGACAAAATTTGGGTAGAATTGAGTTGTGCCAAGAAAAATTACAAGACAGTTGCTCTCGCAACTTTAAAACGTGAGCACAAAGCTCCATTGAACAGACAAAACCTCAATAAGTAGATTGAGCAGACAAAAATAACATCAATAAAAGTCCTAAAATGAAACAAAGCACCATTTAGCCGACAAATATAAGCAGAAATGACAGTTCACCTAGTTATTTTTCAAGCAGAATGTTTTTCAGCTATCAAGAGAACTGCTCATTGCCGGATTCGAGTCCTTGGCCCTCCAGGCTAAACGCGCAGCATCTGATCCAGAAAACCAGATTATGAACTTAGCCACCAAAAGATTTGGTGATTTCGCCAGACAAGTCTTTTTCAAAGAGGTGAAGCTGACGAAAGCAAAACATGGCAAACGAGAGCTTTCTAACTGGTAGAAAATGAAAAAGAAGTAAATTAACTGAAATAATGAGAAACAAAAACTTAATCTCTACAGCAATCTAACCTACGCAATCGACTACCTACATCTTCGCACTCTAATGCCTTAGCCGTTGCGTTATACGCCCAAGTGGTAATTCAATACCCAGTCACTTACATACTGGCTGGTATTTACCCAATACCAGATATACAGGCATTAACTATTGCACCACAACCGGCCTGAATTTTTTTTTAAAAATTATTTTCTGATTTTCTAACAAAAAAAACAGGCTGACTCAGCTAGAAAGATAAGCCGAAACCATGAAGGCCGGATAAAGCTTTTCAGCGAGAGAAAAAACAAAAGGAAAAAATACAGTTACGACATGTAAATTTTAAAATTACAGGAGTAAATCAAAACCTATTGCAATTACAACGAAAATTGCTAATACGAAAAATTCAGGGATGTTGCAACTAAGTCGACAAAAGATAGGCAGACTGAAAATAGGCCCACAATATAATGTTTCCCCGAAAACACCTTTTTCAAGCATACTGAAAAAACAAGGTCCGGCCGGGACTCGAAACGCTAACCTTAGGGTGCAAAGGCAACGGCGCTACTATTTACCAAGTGGGAAGGACACTAAAAGTTGTTAAGGTGCAATAGTAAAGCAAGATCAAATTCTTACAGATTTAATAGAAAAGTTGTTTACGGGAAAAAAAATTACTTCCCGATTACAAGACATATCTTCTCGCGAGCTTAAAAAAGCAGCCGAATAACTATTCAACAGAGTGCGGAACATATGAAAACAAGACTGCTTGTATGAGGGCGACGATGTTAATTGTCTCAGATTGGCAATCTTTTAACCCCCCATAACTTTACAATTAATCACAGAAGAAATATCTTTTACAAGTTTGAGCTCAGGACATCAAAGCTTATCAGATGGCATTAAAAATTTTCACCAAAAATGGCTAGCTAAAAGTCGAAATTAATCTGGAGAAACAAAAACCACCCGAGCACAAAACTACCACAATTTCTTCAAAAGTCGGAGATATAAGCAACAGCTATATATTGCATCGAGAAAATTTGGGAACGAATCGAGACACACAGTGTCGAGATGTGAAAAAATTTAGAGATGCAATATAAACTGTTGCTTATCTGGTTTGAAGTATGTAAAAAAATTCTAGCAAAACACACATATCTCAAAAGTTTTCACGCTAAAACGTCACTTTTACTTTCTATTTTGTTGCTTGATTGTTCTGGGAAAGATATCGCACTATTGTTTCAATTATTGCTCGTGTTTCAAAGATTACTATATTTTTGATACTCACCAGTAAACAGACAAATAAACCTTAATTCAATTAGCCAAAAACTAAACGAAACGGCATAAATCCAGACACGAAAAGAAATTTAGAAAGGGAAATACCAAATTAATATTTCAATAGCTGGATGTTAATAGAAGTGATATTAAACAGAAACAGTTACCAGGTCCACTCTGACCTGTATTAGCTTCAACCGAGCACGGCCGGTGCGTAAATAGAGACAGGGCCGACCCCAGTCTCATTAAGCGTTTGACTGATTGGAGCTATGTAACCCTGTACCAATTACACTTACGTCTAAGCTAAATTTCATAGATTCATCATGCAATGATGTAAACTGCATTTCTTCTAACTCTTCCCAGAAATCTTTTAATCGCTGTTCTTTAACAAAAGAAATATACTTCTCATCGACCAGATTTACTTCGCTTTTGCCAATTGAGCACAGCGTAAACAGTAACATAATAAGCCGCGTTGATGTCATCGTTGCTCTTAGTTTGATCTCATGAGGCTCTGAAAGTCATTACAACTTAAAATCAGAACATAAATCCCAAGGTAACAAAATTTACGGCACGTTTCCTTCATCAAAACAGGGTATAAAAAGTTGCTTCACGTTTCATTCATAGGTTGCCTGTTTTATCTTCGAAATACAAATGTAGAGCTAAAACCAAATCATTCGCAATATCGACGGTGACCTTGAACTGTTTAGGTGTTCAAATTTTTTTCTGTTTACGGTTAATTAGATTAGCCTGATTCTTGTGATAAACTTATTGCATGGAGTAGGCCAGACTCCACGTGATATGAGAATTGGAAAAACTTGGAAATATCTCGAAAACAACGAACTATTGGCGGTACCTTTTGATAAGGGACTTGGGTTTTACGTCATGAAAAAACTTACTTATGAAGCAAAACTGACCTAATTGCTAGAATCAGAACAGTTTGAGAGACATGATAACATGAATGATTCAGTTGTTCAAAAAAAAATGAGAAAAATTTTGAACAAAGAACTACTGGCCATGAACAATAAGGATGAGATTACAGACGGCTTAAATGCTAGGTTGGGGTCAATTTGGGGTCAACCTGCACGAATTTATGGACTGGCTAAATTACATAAACAGGATACGCCTCTAAGACCTGTCCTCTTTCTCCCCGGTAGTTTCTATTGAGAAACTGAATAAAGCACTAGCAAAATGTTTCGATAAAATCGAGGGTACAAATATTGAGACTTACAATGAAACAGCTGGGGATATTACAGAGAAAACAAAATTGGACTCTGAGGAGAGTATCATTTCCTTTGATGTGAAAAGCATGTACACATACGTTCCGCTCAAAGAAACCATTAACATCGCTCTTGAGAAACTAGATAGCCAGAGTGAGCCATCTGACTTGTCAAAAAGTACAATGAAACGCCTTTTGTAAATGACTGTTGGTAAAGTCCATTTTAATTGCAACGACACATGGTATGTACGGAAGGATGGATTAGCCATGGGTGCATTCTCTGCTGAAGAAAGTTTTTTTTGACAGCCTATATGATATTTCGCTCTATATTAACAACTAGTCAATTAAAAGTCGGGAAAAGTTCTTAAGAATCACTTCAACAACTGAGAAGCAGCAAATAAAGAACAAAAAATGCATTGAATTGAAAAAAAAACTGAATAACAGTTTTAAGAAAATTTTCAAGTTTTTCATTTGCCAAAGACGAAAATTTAAAAAAAAGAAAGTATTCATAAATCAAAATTATAGCAATATGTTACATTTTTAGGATAATTTCCTTATTACCGGGTCAAAAATATCAATATTCATTTTTGAATTAAAAACTTTTTTTGAAAATATCAATATTTGTATCAAATTTCGATATATCGATACATCGATAAATTATCAATGAATATCGGATTACCTGATTCTGGCAAACCTTTGGTTGAAAAACTATAAGAAAGTTCTGGCTATGGACATCCCTCAAAAATTTGTTATGCTAGAGGACATAAACGGAGAAATACCCAAAATCCAATGGAAGGATGTTTTTCAGAACCGAGTTAATAGAATGGAAGGATTAGTTGAATTGTTATCCTGAAACGGCAGATCAATGTAAAATAAATTCCAGAAACGTTTTCGACATAAAAGTCATCATCAGCCAATCTAAAAAACAAAGCACCTGTAAAACCGGAATGGAAATGGATGTGTAGAAATTACAAGAAATGGATGTGTAGAAATTACAAAAAATTCCCGTGTAGAAATTACAAAAAAGGTATAAAAACTAACATTAAAAAGAATATAAAAAAAGTTTGTGTGCCATTCTGCCAGATTGGCACAGCGCAACCTTCCGGCGACACGAAAGAAAACGAATAAAGGCCTTAGTAACAAAAAATTACTGCGAAGGAGGGTCTAGATATTCCGAGAATTTGAATTCTTAAAATTTCGAGGGACGGGTCAATATTTGTGAGAATTACAAAAAGACGGCCATTTTGACTGGAAAGGACGAAAAAACAGAACAAAGACAAATATAGTAGAAAACGGTCGTACGAGAACACGAGAAAAACGGAGCCTCTTATCGTGGCAATAACACACGATAAGATCCATAGCAGTGGAAACTAGTGGAAAAGGAAGCTTCAGTGGGGAAGGAATATTCCGCGGAACCCTCCCGTGCCACAAATTGGGAGAGATAAGAGCGTTATCTCGAGAAGAACACGGGAGCGGAGGCTTGGTCCCCCAGAGACTGTTGAATTTGAAGGGACTATATAAAACTGACTTTGTAGCTACTTGGATGTCATAAAACCTTGAATTAACACCGGTATTATTTGATATTTTAGAATATGAGTAGCTAGAAAGAGGAAAGTGTCAATCCATCTCCAATGGATTTAATATAGAACTGTCACTCAAAAACATATTAAAATAGGGTATTCGAGCCGTGTTTTTAATAGCAATCACGTAGTCTGAGGATCCGAGACTCAGCTATGTGGTTGTGTTTGCATGTAAACGAAAGCTGATCAAAAGTCGTTTGACTGATGGCCTAAAAATAGTAACTTTTTACTTAGCCCTAAACAGACCAGAAAATCAACTGGCAAGGTCGAGACGGTGAACAACGAGTGGAATTAAGGTAACTGACGCCTGCCAGTTGTTAATAGGTACTTTTTCTACGCTCCGTCGCTGTGTAGTGTTTGGGCGAATGTTACATAGACGTTTTTATGGCGCTCCTGGGTGGGCCTGTCAAAGGCATAAGACCATCATGATCAGCAAGCGTTTCAGCGACGAACCCTCCGCTCCGGGCGTATGCCCAAGTTAGAGGCCTTAATGACCGTTATTTTACTAGGGGGAAGGTGCGTACCCTCCGCCTAGTACTATTTAGCTTTTTAACTTAGTTAACACCGAAAATTCCGGGGGCCGGAGGGTTAGGTGGGAAGTCATGAGCCCGCTTATCCCAAGGTCCCGGGACCAAAAACAATTAAAGAGAAAGCGTAAAACCAAACAAAAATAGTGTATAACCAAGAAAAAGCCAAAAATAAATTTATTTGAAAACAAAAAAGTACAAAAAACAGTAAAAAAATTCCAAAAAAGACCAAAAACAGTAAAAAACATAAAGTGACAGTTTATGTGTTATTTCCGGACAAGATGTGATCTGACCTCCTGTTTGTTGTTGTTTCAGATTGATCTATATCATTTCTGATAGAAAGATTGTGTGTTTTGGTGAAGGGTTGGATACCCTCCCTTGAGTGTAATTTGAGTATTTAAGCACGTTAATGGTGATTTTGCCGGTGACCGGAGAGGGTAGAGTGGCAAGCTGACCGACGTGTTCCACACTCAACAGGGACGTAAGGACAACATCCACAACGACTGTTGGGTATCGTTGAAACAATTTTAGTATCATTCGGGTACTATTTCATTAAAACTTAAGTGGTGGGGGGCACGATTGGCGCGGTCCGATTGTACCCTCCGTCGATCACAAATTTCCGAGTTAAGGGTCTTAATTCGGGTATTTTGGTGCAAAGGAGGGTATAGTAAAAGTCATTTACGACTACTAATAGATTATTGTCTTTACTATATATTACTTATCTCCTATTTAGACCCAAGAAACACCCAATTACCGATTTTCGACCAAACTATAGACCCCCAAATTTTTGGATATCTGAGCTTTTCCGAACAGCAAGAAGCTTTTTTATAGGGAGTAGCTACGTAGTTCAATCCCCCTGACTAAAGAAGCCGATTGAGAAAAGACTCAGTAGAAGTTCGAAAAACGAAAATTTTTTGATCAAAACTTCGATAATTTTCTGAATTTTGTCAATCTGTTTTGGGGATCGAGTTTTTGAGTTTTTAGAGTTAGAGCTATAAAATTTTTTGTGTCAGGAGCGTGCTAGCATAATGTGCTCGGCTGCCAGGAAAATCTTGAGTAACCCTCCGATTAGCTCCGTGGATAGAGCTAACGACTTAAGGATTGGAAAAGGAAGGGATCGGAGGGTCCAAATTTGATAGTTATTGGCCAAATTTTTGTCTCCAAACCAATTTTGGTCGGGTTTTTTGCATTATTCCAGTGCCGTACAGGGATACTACGCTCGTTTCAATTATTTTTAGGCACTTTCAACAGGAATTGCTGAAAAAGTTTCTCAGAACCTATATAGGTGGTGAAAAAAGGCCAGTTGGACAAACAGGTTTTTGGCAATTTCTCAAAGACTAGCCAACTGATCGGGATAATTTTGATACCATAAGTCGAAGTTTTGGACCAATTTTCCGGACCGCAACTGTTTTTGGGTTGATAATCTCGGAAAAGAAAATTTTTTTAGAATTTGTTGGTTCGTAGGGTCCAAATTATAGGTAACCCTCCGTACGGCAGAAAATTTTATCAAAACACCTTTTTATCCTGCTGGGAAGGTTGACCGTGTCAGCCAACCTGGTTTTAAGTGAGTTACACCGCATTCGGAGGCTTTATTGCGGTAAGTTAACCTTTTTCCTGATTTTTGCGGAACCCTCCGGAGTAACCCTCCGGAGTGACTTAAGCCCTTTAGCAACCCTCCTTAGTGGAGATTTTCCACGAGACCCTCCGAAGAAGTTAAAAACAACATCCCGTAGGGAATTTAGCTTGTTTTGACGCTTTCTTAAGCTAGTTTAAGGTCATTTTCAAAAATTTGAAAATTTTGGAAGAACCCTCCGAAGTAACCCTCCAGAGCATATTAAGCCTCTTATTGACCCTCCTTAGTGAGTTAAGGGGGACCCTCCGAAGTCTCTTGGGTGACTAAGGTACCCTCCGAAGTGACCCTCCGGAGTAGGCTAAGTGTCTTAGCAACCCTCCGAAGTAACCCTCCGGAGTGACTTAAACCTCTTAACAACCCTCCTTGTTAGAAACTTGAGGAAACCTTCTGTGGCGATTTGGGAAACGGAAATTATCCATATAATTGAGATCATATTAGGATATTAGGCGTGTTTATTAAGATCATAGGAGCCCATTTTGAGCCGGAAATTCGTGATCAACTTTGGATTCTAGATCGGGTGCATCAGAAGTACCCGAACCAAAATTTTTTTT